GTTAGAATGAGTGGAGCACTCGTAAACTACACAAGATATGGGCATTTTTTCAGATAGCAGAACCTCCACTTTTTCACTTCCGACCTCCATCCGAACTTCGCGCTCTAGTGGCACTGCATCGTGACGTCACGTGAAACCCTCCTATTGAGTCGATGGTCGTAGCATTTAAAATGTAAATGAATAGATACCAGTCAGGAGTAAAATACATGTTTGGGAGTCAGGGAAGTTTAGGTTCAGGATTATGTTGTGGATGGCAGGATACCTTCAGCTAAATGCTTGAGTGAAAAAAGGAGTTTTTAGTTGATTTTTAAAGGTGTCAGTATTATCAAGGGAGCACAGWTGGACCAGGAGAGCATTCCAAAGTCTGGGAGCCATGGAGGAGAAAGCATGGTCTTTGCGGGTCTTGAGACGGGTAGGGGGGGGACCATGAGAAGGTTCTGATTTTGTGAACGCAAATTGCGTATTGGATTGTAGTGGGAGATGAGGCTCGAGATGTAACTGGGCTCCTGGCCATGTAGGGCTCTGAAGGTGAGAACTAGAATTTTGAATCTGAGTCTGAAGTGGACAGGTAGCCAGTTAAGATCGGAGTAATGTGGGAGAGTTTTGAAATGCGAATTAGAAGTCTAGCTGCTGAGTTTTGTACAAGGTGAAGATGATTAAGCTGTTTTTGGTTCAGGCAGGTGAACAGACTGTTGCAATAGTCTAGGCGGGCCGAGACAAAGGCATGGATTAGCCTTTCTAGGTCAGAGGCAGACAATGTAGGGCGAAGTTTTGAAATGTTACGGAGCTGAAAAAAGCATGATGAAGCCAGACTTTTAACATATTTATCCAAGGACAGATCTGAGTCTAAGTTGACTCCTAGGTTTCGTATGTTCTGTTTAACTTGGGCTGAAAAGGTCTGAAAAAATGCAATATTAGGACTCCAGAAGTAAAAAAAGAGTAAATAATAAAATGATGCAAAGAATAACTAGATTTGTTTTGTGTTCTCTTGGTATTGCAAGAATTTATTGATGACTGAAGAAGATGCAGATGTGGGAGCTGTAAGTGGAAGAATTGATCAAGTTGTGTGTAAATTGTGCCCTTCATGAAATAAAGTAATTACACAGAGGTTCTTATAAGCTTTCAAACAAAGAAACATGAGTTCCTCTGTTGGAGGTCAGCACCCTGCAACCCTGCACGGTGAAGAAAAATGGATGGATTATAATGCAGGTACAAGTGGGTATAGACAATGATTCAAAAGATGGACTGAAAAACCAAACAAATTAAAAAACTAGAAGCACTYGGAGAGCGCAAACCTCCGCCAAGGCCATAGGGTCAATTATGCTAAAAGGATCCCCCTTGGAAAAGTGACCTATCCAATGCTTTATACTAAACTTAATAACATCAGGTTGCATGTATTCATACATAAAATTAAATGATGGRAATGAAAATTTATTCCAATATATTCATCAGAAAACACATGAAGAATAATAATATTGAATCAATGTCATAACACAGTATCTTTCTAAATATAACCAGATATATTCTGTGCCCATACAGTGAAGGTATCATATAAAAAAGTTTCCAAATACATTAATGTTAAGATTACATTTTAAATTTTTAATAAAATATTCACAATATGGTGAGAAAAATAAGTGTGAAGAACTTTGACATCTGTAATTTCCTATCCTGCAATAGTGAAGAATCCTTCAAAAAATTCATGGATCCGGATCATCACCAAAATTTAATGGTGTGTTCCTTTGGCCAACCTGTGGTAAAAGTTTCATGAAAATCCGTCCATAATTTTTTGAGTACTTTTGTCCACAGACAGACATACACGACCAAAAACATAACCTCCGGAGGTAAAAAGAATCTCTAAACGCAACTAAACTAACCACTGTGCTGCTGTGCCATTCTTCATTTTAAAGCAAACTACATCACTGGAAAAAAAAAGTTACAGGGGACTAAACTTAGTCATATGGAATTACACCTTTGAATAATTTTAAAGTTTGTGTTAAAACTGGCTTCTCTTCTTTGGCTACTGGAACCAATTTTGAACTTGTTTTTTATGTTCTGTTGCACTAGAAGACTGATATAGGAGCAAAAATCAAACTTTCAAGTCTTATTTGTTTAAATGGTTAGTTATTTACAAAAAAAAGCTCAACAGATGTTGAGAATTTAGGAACTTTTCTCCATCCCATCTGCTCTTCCTCCCTCCCACCTGCGGTGTTCTCCGGCAGCTCTGACTGCCCCGGGCTGCTGGTTTGGACCGCCTATCCTCATTTAGAGAACACTGATTGGCTCCCACACATGCTGAGCTGAAGCTCAAAAGAATCCAGTACACCTTGTGTGTTTGACTCCCTTGTATACCAAACTAATTTTAATCCCACTGGCAAAGTTGAAGATGGGATTGTTGGGGGTGCCGGGCTTTTTTTTATTTTTGGCAACTCTCACACAGGTAAAGCCTCAGTTTTTCACGTTAATGTTTTGAGATACTGATCAAACATTTAATGTGATTTATTGGTATGATATTTAAAGCATATTATGTCGACTACTTTGTTGTTTACAGATACAACAGTGCAGAGCAGATGGTAAGAGAATGAAAGAAACATGCATCCAACGTGTTATCATTTAAAATGATACAACAATGAAACACAAGAAAAATCTAAATTAATTGCATTGTTTCTGAATTTACTGCCTCATTAAGTTTGAATACCAAAGTACTTCACACTCACTTCACTGTGTTGTATTTGTTTTCAGGTTGTAAAATCTTGTCAGCAGTTCCCACAAGTGCCTCTTCCATTCAAGTAAAATGGGAACCATACCCTTTAGCAACAGGTTACATTGTGGACATTCGAAAGAAAAACGCCACAGACACGGCACCAATTATCATTGCCGTATCGTCGCAAGTGACTGATAGAACTGTCCAGGGTCTGAAACCTGGAATTGAGTATAATGTGACACTTAAAGTCATGAATTTTTTTACTGTACAGTGTGTGACCTCAACGGCAGGGACCACTGGTAAGAAATTGCAAATATTTTATTTTTGACGTTTCAGTTTAATTGTAATTTAAAAGTACACATTGAATACTCTTTATAAGGGGTTATTGCATTCATTATCTGAGACACATTCACCCTATAAGCTTTGCGTTTTTATTTGCTTCCTCCTCACAGTTCCTGACACATCACAGATTCTTGATGGTTTTTCACAGTCAAGCACCTCCGTCACGGTAAAATGGAGTGCAGTACCGTCTGCACAGTCCTACATCCTGGAGGTGCGCTCTCAGACCACAGGGAAAACGATAAGCTTCTCATTCACCAACACCTCGGCTGTAGTGGGAAACCTGCAGCCGTCCACCAACTACGACTGCTACGTTACAACAGTCAACCAGGCAGGCATGGGAAGCAAAAGCAAAGTCAGGACCATCACAACCTGTGAGTTTTGTCCAATTATAAGTCTGAGAATGTTTAAATGAATGTTGTAATACATTTGCATTATTACATAAAGACCACATTGTGTTTTCAATACTTCCTAAATGGTAAACTTTAAAAGTGTGAAGAGTGTTTTAGACAAATGAAACAACAAAATGTGATGTTTTCATTCAGAACTTTAAAATGCTCCTCAAAACTAGACTTTTGATTTTCAAAAATGCCATAATAATCAGGATTTGAAAGTATAATCTGACCATTGCAAATGTCAAATTTTATTTTGTTACTATAGTTGTTTTTTTGCACAATATTAATCAAAAAGAAACAAACAAAATAGCTAAGTGCTATAAATGTTTTTTTTTTTCAGTTTTGTTGTCTCTCCAGTTAAGTCAACAGTGCTAAAAATTACATTTTAAAGAAAGAATTATAGATCACAAAGTTAAGTGTGTCTGTTAAACGTCCAATAAACAATTTCTGTGAGGATCTGGGAAAAATAACATTAATTTAGGTATCTTATWATTTGAGATGAGTATAGATCAAATAATGGGCAAGATATAGCCCAAGCCCAACCTCTGAATTCAAAAATCTTGAAAGAATTTTAATTAAAACCATTAATTTCCAAAAAAATATWAAAAATAACTGACAAAGATGTGCTACATCTTTACTCGCTGGCAATAAAGTTTGCCGTCAATGTTAATGACTAAACTCTAAACCAGTGGGAGCAAATCCTGGACCTATTCTGCATATTTTAGATATTTCTCTGCTTTTACACACCAGACTTGGATGAATGAGTGATTAAAAAGCTTCTGCAGAACATATAGGCATTCTGAAAAGCAAGGAAACAACTAAAACATGCAGGATATGGTGGCCCTTGAGGACCCTGACTGGTATCAACCTTTTTGGTAGGTTGTACTGCTCGAAACAAACTGACTATTTTCATTGGGTGTTTCAAAAACGACTCCAAATGTTTCTTTTTTAAACCAAAGTTGGAYCTCTCAACTAACAGTCAGTTTACAGGCACTATGAATAATATTCTACAAAAAGTATTGTTGTGTTCTAGACCAAACATGAAAACTATGGTTTTTGTTAGTGATAAAATTCCCAACATGTCATGTAAAAACAAATAAAACAGAGCAAATAGTGCATTTTGGCAGATATGATGCTATGCATGACAGACTCATAGCATACTGTGCCAGTTAATTCACTGTCATATGCTTTGATGCATTTTACTTGACAACGCAGGGAGTGACAAACGAGAGAGCGATTAATGTGCGTCATCGCAACCAGGGTGGAACCCAACACTCGGGACGCGATAGCATCAGCGGCGTTCCGAATCACACTCTCGGGTCGTTTGTCTTCAAGAAATTTGATTGGTTCTTCTACTTGTTCTTGTAAAGTTTATTGGTGGTTGGCAAAAAAATGAATGGTGTGCGTTATTGCCATAAAAGTAAACAAATCTTGCGATGCTAATGATATTGGCAGTGGTCGGCAGCACTAATCTAAAAATTAGTTACACTAGCACTAAAACACTAACTCAAATATTTAGGTCCCCTAATTCTAAAGCACTAATTTTAATATTTAGGTCCCCTAATTCTAAAGCACTAACTCAAATATTTAGGTCCCCTAATTCTAAAGCACTAATGCACTGAAAGTTTTAGTAAAAGCTAACTCTAAAGCACTAAAACAACCCAGTCAACCCATGAACGTTCTTCAACAGACAACATGAGTTACATATTGTCATGTTGCTCTGTTAAGACTTATCATTGACATTCCACAGCTGTATTTGGGTTCATATATTGTCAACTAGTGGATAAGTGACACACATATGAACAAAATGTGACAGCTTTCACCTTCAGCTGTTGAAAATGTTGATCAATAACATTTATAGACCTCAATTAGTGCTTCTAAATTTATCCTATAAATTTAGCARGTGCTAATCCACTAATAATTTTAAAATTAGCAAAAGCCCTAAAGCACTAATCAGGAAATTAGTTCCCCTATTAGTGCTTTAGTGCTTTAAGGGAACTGTGCCCACCACTGGATATTGGAAAACCAAACGCACGCTAAGATATGACATTATAAGGAAAAACTTACTGGAAAACCTCCCCTGGCACCAACAAATTCCAGTGTGGCTGCCTTTTTATGTGCATTTTTGTAATCACTTTGTGAAGTGTCATATAAAGTTAGAATGTTTGACAGAGCTGAAATAATGTTGAAAGTGTTAGCTAACTGCAGTGTGCAGCMTACTCTCCGCTAATGGTCAGTCAATAAAACCYTCACTGATTGGTTGTAGCACCTTGCGATAGTGACAAAAGTTGAACATTTTTCCACTTTCATGTGTCGCGTCCTGTCGCTCGTAATTTCACGTGAACRAGTTTTCCTTGGTCCCTTGGCTGGAGGAGGGCAAGCAATTGTTGTCTCATTGCACAAGTTCCATAGAAAATGAATGGAGAGGGAGCGACGTTGCCTCTCGTGTGTCGAGCCCATTGGACTCAAAACCTGAACAACTAAAGTCAATGAATCTCAAGAAGCTATTTCAAAACTCCCAGTATAAAAAGTAGAAATAGTACACAGCTATCTGAGTGAATAGATTAAAAGTATTTGTGTTGTGTGTTTTCAAATTGCAWATGTGTTTTCTTTTAGTGGTTCAGCCTCCGCTGGGAGTTACTGCAACCCAAACTGGTCCAGTAACAGCAAGTGTCACATGGCAACCAGTGGATAATGTCTTGTCATACCTGGTCGTCGTTCAAAGCCTCAGTGACCCCACAAGCCAGCCTTTTGTGCGCAACGTCACGGACACCAAGCTGGATGTTCCTGGCGTCCAACCATGTTCCAATTATTTGATATCAGTATCGTCATACAGCAAGTTCCTGGTACCGAGCGAGCCCACGAACTACATATATTCCACCAACAGTGAGTTATCGAAGCCAGTTTGATATCAATAAAGATCTAGGTCAGCTATTCTCTCTCAGGGCTCCCTTTCAGACATGAAGAAAATGATCCTCGGGGTAGTTGTCAACAACATCACACAAACAGAAACCTGAGCAAGATTAATTCAAATAAGAAAATCCGGATTTTGGTATAGCATTTCAAATACAGTATAAAAGTCACACTGAACTGTTAAGATCAATAATATCCCAGTCAGGATTACATACAAGTCTGTTTCTGAGAATGTCTATGTAACGTGTTTTCTCACATATTAAAACTTGGAATATATCAAAWTTTTTTTTCAAATTGTGCTACTTGCAGAACTGACTCCAGTCGCATCCGTCTCTGTAAACTACACCTGCGCCAACAACTCCGTCAGGGTAACCTGGTCGCCTGTTTCTGGGGCCAAGTCTTACCTGGCCACAGCAGTGGATGATAAAGGATTGCAGATGATGTGCACAAGCCAGAGCACTACCTGTTCCATCGCTGGGCTGAACTGTGGCCAGCACTACGTGGTGAACGTAACGCCGGTGTCGGACAGCTGCAAGAACTCGGTCAACGCCACCTCGGCTTYTTTTCAGACTGGTGAGACACAAAACTGTAATGATCACAGAAAAGTCAAGTTGCACAATCCCCCAAAGTCTAAWTGCAGTGTTTTTATTTTTGATCAATTTAAGTAAACTGGGCATTTTGGGATTGGAAACCTTAAATTTATTTATTTATTTACTGTTATTTTACCAGGCAAGTCCCGTTGAGATCTCAGATCTCTTTCTCAAGGGTGGCCTATTGTACATGTTTTGGGGGGGTGGGGGAAACCGGAGTACCCAGAGAAAACCCACACAAGCACGAGGAGAACATAAAAACTCCGCACAGAAAGACCCCAGGTCCGAACTGGGGATTGAACCCAGGACCTTCTGGCTGTGGGGCGTCAGCGCTAACCACTGAGCTGTTGTGCTGCCAAAGAGACAAGAACCAGAATAAGGAGTTTTGGGCAGATGGWAACAAGTCAGTAAAGTCCAATCTGGGACAATGTGCGATTTTTAAAGTTGAAGGATGTAAATATATTCTAGTAGACTGCAAATATGAAATCCTGAGTTCGTTGAGCATGTTGTTGACTCTTTACAAAAGGAATGGGCTGAAATTAAAGGTATTGAGGCCAAAAACACTCAGTGCCTCAGAACTAAAAGAGTCTTTCAATACCCACATTTCTGCAGTGAGACTGAGRCTTTCTGTTAAAACTTTGACATCTTTGAAGCCACAGAAAACAACACATTTTATAAGTTAAATCAGACTCCTCATCTGTAAGTCAGGCTTTAGAAACKAGGCTAGTATACAACTATCACAACAGTTTAAAAATGAAATCAACTAGGTACCGCATAGGGGTAGCATACATGATCCCCGCACATGCACAAAGATCAGAACAGATTTATTGTTTTGGGTGGAGGGTGGGGGGG